GTACCAGTCGCAACAAAGCACTGTCACTGCGGTCACCAATTCTTCGAGGAGAGGCGCCGGTCAACCACCTCAAACACCTCAGAGGTAGAGGAGATTGACGACGGCCATCTGAAGGAGATGAAACCAAGCAGGGGATCGGCCACGTCAACTGCAGTTAGTGGAATCATGTCTCTAACGGCATCAGTGGGCAAGGGGGACCTAGGCTCGTCAGCCCCCGAGGGCAAGCGCCGCAGTGAGAGGGTCAAGCGGGAGAAACCCAACTTCTACGATGCCTTAGAGTATGAGAATCAAATGAGGAAGGTAGGTTGCTCTGGGAATTTTTGTAAATGTATTTAGAAATGATGGTTAAGATTATGTTTAAATGTCCATTTGCACAGAGCTAGTTGCTATTTGTGTACATATTGTGCTGTAGGGTAGCAATTTTTTATGTACACACACACACACACACACACACACACACACACACACACACACACACACACACACACACACACACACACACACACACACACAACCCCGTATATAATGCGTATATGTATACTATTAAGTGAGCCTCCAAATAATATGCATAAGAAACTAAGCCCTTCTTTCCCCCCCTTCCTGTTCCCTAGGCCCGGAAGGAGAGACAGAAGGAAGAACCTCCTAACCCCACGGGACGGGTGAAGCGTGAACGAAAAGTGAAGAACAACTCAGAGCCGGTTAGTGTTACCATGTATCGCTATAACAAGGTCAGTATCCAGCCCAGTGGGGAAGGCAGGCAGGCAGGTGTCCCAAAGAGGAGAGTGCCCTCCCCCCCAAGAGAGGAACGTAATCAGTCGTTATAAGCAACGGTGCTGTTAAATCGATATAAGAACTCCACAAGTAATGAATCGGAAGTCTCACAAATCCTTTTTGATTTATTATCTTCTTATTATTTTCTGTTTCACCTTTTTTATCTTTCTTTTTTTTTTTTTTTTTTTTTTTTTACACTACCCTTAAATTTGTTTGAATTCTCCACATATAAGCTTTCATTAATATATAAGATTCCTTGCACCTTATCCTTCCCCTTCCCTAAGATAATGAGAAATTGGTACTGTAATGCATCACATATGCCAAGTGTGACGTAGATGCAACCCTCCCACTAGCTAATCTTCATGAATACACTTAGTGTATAACATCTATCTGTATATATCTTTAAGGTCTGACAGATCTCGACAGCTAATGACCTCGGCAAGAAATGGACGTGAAATGACATCTTTGGGACAACCTCCTAACCTTCTTTCACAGAAACTTTCTCCTTTTTTCTCTTGGTTGTTAAAGCTTTATAATTTTTTTACATTATCAGCAAACAAATCGGTGAATGTAATGTTGATTGATTGACTTGTATAATCTATAAATCTTATCTATATACTCAATTTCCTTATTTTCATGCTGTAAGGAATGTGCTGCTTGAGTTGTGTAAATGTTGAACACTTGAAAATATCCTTATTTGATCTGCCTTTACCAATTTGTTACAGACATGGAAATTGAGGCCAGAGACCTTCTCACTCTCGGTTAAAACAATTGTTCTCTCTTTTGTTTAAACATTTTGGTACTATAATCTTTTATGATTTGTAGACACACACTACGGATTTCAGATTTGGTAATGGTGATCAGAGATATAATGATATTGATTGTCAGTATATCAAGAAATCTTTATTACAAGAAATCTGTTGGCTAATGAATATCATGTTGATATACCTTCTTTGGGAGCTAGAGGAATACATGTGCATGATTATAGTAATCAGCTTATTTTTATTTTCCACATTTCTTTTTTGGGGAAAGGTTAACAGTGCATGAATTTGTAGTGAGTATGGTTGTTTGCATTTCATTTGCTTGGAATTTTGTCTTGTAGTTTGTCTTCTTGCCTTTGGTTTCTTTCATTTACAGACACAATAGAGAAAGTAACAAGATGGAAAGTAACTTTGAGAAGAAGTTTTTAGGATTAGCTAAATGAAGAAATTTCTTAGGGAAAATGTGATATCAAAAAGAGAGAGAAAATATTTTATGTTTATGGCTACTTTTGCATCCAGAGTTTACAGTTTACTAAAACATTTTTCAAAAGCATGAGAATGTCTTTAAATATATTGTTTTATTATGCATTGTGAGTATACTGTGTATATATCAGTTATAAAATTTGTCATTTATATTCTCCTTAGGTAAAACAACACTTGAAAATATCCTTATTTGATCTGCCTTTACCAATTTGTTACAGACATGGAAATTGAGGCCAGAGACCTTCTCACTCTCGGTTAAAACAATTGTTCTCTCTTTTGTTTAAACATTTTGGTACTATAATCTTTTATGATTTGTAGACAAACACTACGGATTTCAGATTTGGTAATGGTGATCAGAGATATAATGATATTGATTGTCAGTATATCAAGAAATCTTTATTACAAGAAATCTGTTGGCTAATGAATATCATGTTGATATACCTTCTTTGGGAGCTAGAGGAATACATGTGCATGATTATAGTAATCAGCTTATTTTTATTTTCCACATTTCTTTTTTTTGGGGAAAGGTTAACAGTGCATGAATTTGTAGTGAGTATGGTTGTTTGCATTTCATTTGCTTCGAATTTTGTCTTGTAGTTTGTCTTCTTGCCTTTGGTTTCTTTCATTTACAGACATAATAGAGGAAGTAACAAGATGGAAGGTAACTTTGAGAAGAAGTTTTTAGGATTAGCTAAATGAAGAAATTTCTTAGGGAAAATGTGATATCAAAAAGAGAGAGAAAATATTTTATGTTTATGGCTACTTTTGCATCCAGAGTTTACAGTTTACTAAAACATTTTTCAAAAGCATGAGAATGTCTTTAAATATATTGTTTTATTATGCATTTTGAGTATACTGTGTATATATCAGTCATAAAATTTGTCATTTATATTCTCCTTAGGTAAAACAAGATGCATAATCTGTTTTGTTTTAATTTTTTATTTTCTGTTAATTTGAGCAGCCAGTTTCATTTTATGAGCAGTTACAAGTTTATTTGGTATACTCAAAAAGTGGCATCATTCAAAGGGGAGGAACTGATCAGCATCTCTTCCTCAAAGATCATGGACTATAGTTGTCTAATGCTTAATCAGTTAGAAAACTGACTATGGTTACCTAATATGGTCAAGGGTGAAATATTTGAAATATTTTGTTGAACTTGGAAATCTATAAATTATTATTATTATTATTATTACTATAATTATTATTATCATTATTATTATTATCATTGTTGTGCAGTATTACTACATACACTAGCTTTCAGAAGTTAAAAAAATATAATTATATATGATTATTATTATGATTATGATTATTACTATGATTATGATTATTACTATGATTATGATTATTACTATGATTATGATTATTACTATGATTATGATTATTACTATGATTATGATTATTACTATGATTATTATTATTATTATTATTATTATTATTATTATTATTATTATTATTGAGTAGTAGTAGTAGTAGTAGTAGAAGTAGTAGTAGAAGTAGTAGTAGAAGTAGTAGTAGTAGTAGTTTTCAATGGCATCACCCTATGATATGGTTCCTTTTGAGTGTTATAAATACCTTTAAGCAGTTGGATTGTTGTATAAAAAAAATCCTGTTTGTGCATGGGTGTTTGAAAGATTATGGTGATTTCCAAATAGATAAAAGGATAGAAAAGAAAAAAAAAATCTTGAATTTTTCACATACGTCCACTGTTTGCACAATCTTACTTATGATCTTATCTTAGTTATGATTTCCTCTTTAATGCTATCATCATTTAATCAACTTTATGAAATTGATGAACAGAAATTTAAGGCACAGGTTCTTAACCTAGGATCATAAACCATTTCAGGGTCTTAAGAAATTACACTGTGACTTGGAAGTTTTTATAAATGATTTCCGATATTCATGATTTCTTCATTCTGAGTGTCTATGTTTCTTGTTGGATTTCATGGGAGTCATCATAGTTTCAACTGTCAGTGTAGGCCTTCTTGTGTTTGGTAGGTGTGGTCTTGCTGTTGACAAAATTAGTAAGTTTGTCTTTAGAGTTTGTATATTTTTACATAAATATCATTTAATAACCAATGCGAAAGTCCTCCCCTCTGGGCTGTACTCGTAGTGGCCTGGGCCCCACTGCCGAGGGATTGTGTCGGCACCACAGTGTACGTGGCATGACCGTACCATGGCATGTACGTGCATGCCAACCATTGGTAAAAGGTTAAAATCAATTTGACAAAGTTATTTTAATTGGAAATACCATAAGAGCTTGTTACAATGCAAAATGTTCAAGGAAAATGTTTTTTTGTCCAAAATTTACCTTTTCAATTTGTATTATGGAGTCACTCTTTAATTTTTTTTCCTTCAAGGAGATGGCCGTTGGCTTTCTCAGATTCTCAGAAGGGTTCATGACTCAAAAGAAAAAAAACATAAAACATCAAGAACCACTGAAGTAAGGTTAAAATATTTGCTCTGTTAAACCATAGTCGACGGGCATGCCATGCCCACTGTGAGTTTACTTATTCGATTGTTTTTCCACATAGATGGCTATACTTGTACTAAGCCACCAATGAGCCAGTTACGAGTACTGCCAGTCTTGCCCATTTACCCTTTTCTTTGATTTACGAAAATATTTTACATTATCTTATTTTGCTGTTACTAATGTTTATAACATTATAGTTATTATAATGTTTATAATAAAAATAACACCATCAATATTCATAGCACTAGTAAAAAATACATTTCCCTGCCATTTCAAGGAAAGGTGAAATCAGGTAAGGCAGAGCCATCTATGTGTGGAAACATTTCACAAAAAAATGTAAAAAATGAGCACAGCATTTTCCCCCATTGTTTTACTCATTTTCCCCGGTGGCAACGGGTTAACAAGAACCAAATCCTAAACAATAAACTGTAGCATGTTTGTTGTCATTTTCCCACTCTCCTTTTCTTTTGTTGACACGACACTACATCTTTTTTCTTCTAGTTTCAAATGTTCATTTAAGGGTGGAAAATATATTTTTTGAAAAAGAAGAAAATTTATAGTGGCTTCAAATTTCAGGAAGAGGAGGAAGATGAAGAGCCAGTGAAGGAAAAGAAGAAGAAGAAGAAGAAGAAGAATAACAACAATGGCGAGAAGAAAGACAAGGAAGAAGAAGTGGACGAAGACATCATGGCAGGCATCACGGCAGAGAAGGAGATGCAATTCGGCATCGTCTTGTCCGATATCAACTTCAAGCTTGGCCTCAACAACCCCAAATTTATCAAAATTTGAATACCTTTCATCTCTTGAAAGAAAATGAATTTGTTTGGCAGTAGCTCCTGTGGATAGGGGCAACTGTATTTGAATATGAAATTCAAAGAAAATTATTTATTTGAAATCAGTCTAGAAATGTGGTGAGCAAAAATACCCATTATAAAAGGGAATCAATTATAGTGCTGTTAGAATCAGATAAGAAGTCAGCATTATCCAAATGCAAATATCCAAATGCAAAGTTTTAATGCAATCATTCATTTTCTATAAATGAATAATCAGTACTATTTGATGAACTAAGGTTGGGATTTTGTAAACTTCTTCATTACACCTCTCTTATGAGAGGAAATTTTCAGATGTAGTTTAAATAGGAGAGATTTATTAATTGATCATCCGAATCCGTTTCATATCTCTGGGACGTAAGGTAGCTAGAAGGTCGTGTGTCTCATCTGTACCATAAGTTTGTCTTGGATATGAAAAGATGATATTTCTAGAAAAGAGTAATTATTTTTTTCTAATATTTGGTTTTACATTTGCATATTGTTATACATTAATGACAAAAGTAGGTGGAGAAGAGGGGAAGACCTTTTGTATTATTTCTAAGTTAGAAAGTTTCAGTCACAAATGACAGGAATTAGGAGGGCTGTAAGATAGTGTGGATCCTTCTTATATTTATGATGACATTTTGATATGAAAAATCTCAGTAAATTTTATAATGGCAAATGAAATGTTTTTTATCTCATGATTATGACAGTATTTGATTTTTTTTTTTTAAATGAATGAATGATCTTTGATGTCAGATCTTTGTTATTCAGACTGAGAAGAGTACAATGAACTTTCCAATGAGATCTTCCATTATTGTGAAATATTTGTGTCTTTCTTTATGAATATGTTTTATAAAGAAGAACTATGTCAGAGGAATCAAGCATCATTTTGAATTTATTTATAACATAGTACATAAAATTCAGTTCCTTCATTTTTCTAAAAGCAATGAGTCCTTATTATCGCAATTATTACTACTATTTTCTGCCATTGTATAAACTAAGGTGTACATATTTCTTATGGTCAGGGAAAGGAAGGGAATAATATAAGGTATTTTCATAATATGGAGAACCTACACAGTACCTTCAGCTGAAGTTGATGCGTAAATTTAAACCAAAGTTTCACACCTCATCACAGATTCTTCCCTAAAGCTGTTTAGGAAGGAAAGTATTATCTTGGGAGTTTTTTTTTTTTCTCTCTCACTCTTTCTTCCATTAATGATTTTTGTTTTTTGTTTTTTTTTTTTTTTTTTTTTTATGAATATGTTTTATAAAGAAGAACTATGTCAGAGGAATCAAGCATCATTTTGAATTTATTTATAACATAGTACATAAAATTCAGTTCCTTCATTTTTCTAAAAGCAATGAGTCCTTATTAAACGAATGAATATATAAGGTATTTTCATAATATGGAGAACCTACACAGTACCTTCAGCTGAAGTTGATGCGTAAATTTAAACCAAAGTTTCACACCTCATCACAGATTCTTCCCTAAAGCTGTTTAGGAAGGAAAGTATTATCTTGGGAGTTTTTTTTTCTCTCTCACTCTTTCTTCCATTAATGATTTTTGTTTTTTGTTTTTTTTATCATCATCTTCCAGTATTTAAGGAGAGAAATCTCACAGCTGTGCTTAAGTCATACCTATTTATAGCATCAGGAATCCCAAAAGACAATAAATAATAATAATATTTTGGAAAGAACAAAAACTTATGATCATTTAGTGATGCTCAAAAAGAGAATATGCATTAATTTCTCTGCACAATAAATCTATTCCAGGCTTAATTCAGTATGTATCATACCATTTCATATACTTTTCATCTATGCACTTTGTAATTTTCATATCATGTATCATCCTTTTGAGGATAGGTGTAATGAAATAAAGATGTTTTTATAATAATATTTTTCATTATAATATCCTCTAATCTGTATTGCTCTGAAGACCAGTTGACAATATAATTTCAGTACATGTATGGACTTTACAAAAACACATGATAAATGTAACCAAGACTGGCAACATCCAGTCAAATGCATGTAATACACAAAAATGAAAATTTGCCACTTCTTTCCTGAAAATGTTTTGATGGAAATACATGTAATTCTGAATCAATTTTATATATTTTGCAAGATAAAGTGGTCTTGCTATAGCTCTTCCATAAAACTATAAAATGATGGTCTTGGAAATGTATTACAGTAGTTCTTTTAAGAATTCTTATGTCTCATTATTGCATAGTGTATACACAAAAACAAGTGCCACTTAAGACAGTGTTGCCTGGGAAAGCATTATTTTTGTAACAGCCTTTTCCAATACTTATAAAAATAATACCCCTAAATTGAAACAAATTCTAACTGTGGTTATGAGATATACACAATAGCTACATTTAAAATCACTTCCTGGCCTGACATAAAAACCTTTGTTTACGGATTCAGACGTGGATTTTTAGAGACATTTTGTACAGAAACCAGGATTAAAGTCCACAGATTTCTTTTTGCCAAAGTAACTGCAAGGGAAAGGACAACTTCGGTAAAAGCTCAGATAACTATATGTAAGATAACTGAACTGAAATGCTTTGTTTTAACCCATTCGCCTTGGATTTATGTTCTGTCCCCTGTACTTTGACTTTAGTTACATACAGATGACTCCACATGTGCTCAGCTGGCAAGGAGTCTTTCAGTAGGCCCTAGTTACTGAGCCTGATTTTCCCGTTCATTGAATTGGCGGGAAAATTAATACCATTGCTATTGATACTGTTATTGTTGTTATGATTATTAAATTGTCATTAGAATATTTTAGACAATGAAATGATACAAAAAAAACTCTCCTAAAGTGAAGGAAAAGGATAAACAGGTGAAATAGGTAGTTCTTGATAACTGGCTATTTGGTGATTAAGAATTTGTGGAGCCATCTATGCGTAAATACAATAAATAAACATGTATCAAAGTGGGTATGGCATCTATTCTTGCTACGTGGGGCAAATGGGTTAAGGATGAAAATTAAGGAAGACTTGATATAACTTTATATTACCCCCTATAAAACTGGAGATTTACTTTCTGGTGTAACCTTATTCAACACAAAGAACCTTTGCTTGCAAAGAATCATTATTGGTCCTGCTACATGTCACTTCTCAGTACAAATATCAACGCTATATCTGTTATACTTTGTCTCTTGTGTACATGTATTAGAAGTACAGGTCCCTAATTTGCAATGATAGAACAAAAGGGGAAATAATAATTTTAAAATAGGAAATAAGTATAAAATCAGTTATTCACATATCCACCCTTTCAAATATGTACACCACTGGTTACTGATCATTGTGCTAATAATACTTTTGTACATTGGTTGCAGTTATACTATAACGAATGCCTAATCAAAGTCATGTTCCTTCCTCTTTGGCCTGGTTGTTGTGTTTCCAAGATCTTTAGCCCAATAATGACAGATGAAGTTGAGCAAGAACAAGCATGCATTAGTGTGTGCTGCTCTAAGCCTGGGCAATTGTATGGCTTCCAATAGCATGCTCAAGACCTCATCCAGGTAACTGCCAGTGGGTCGAGTGAGTCCGACCTTCATAATGCAAATCTCTTTAGTCTTCAGAAAAGTACTTTCTTATATATAGATAATTTAACTAGATGCTGTCAACAAGTCCACATTTCTAATTTACTGAGCTAAATACAGCTGCTAAGTCACACCCTATTACTATATGAATGCAAACAGTAAAATACATTTCCATATGCTCCTAATTACCTTTAAATAAACATTAATACATTGATGACAATCAGTGCACAAATGAGCAAGTTTGGTATGTCACAATTCTCAGTCTTTGCAACTGCACTCCAGTGATATCTTCTGACTCCACTTACGACTACAAAAAACCTGTGAAATAGTGACCCAAACATTTACCTTCATCACAAAATAGTACATCTTGTATATAATTATTTTTTAAAATCATGGTCAGCTTAACTCAAAAACAATTTTAGTGCAACAGACACCATATTACAACATGTAATATTAAGACAGTATGTATGATTCATCACTGATCTAAAACAAAGTTAAGTTTGACAGTAATTGTTGAATAATTGAATTTTGCATAAAAATCCACGATCAAGGGGTAACATTTCTAGTTTAACTGAAAGATACATTACCTTGATATTGGGGACTCTATGATATGAAATTACTTGCAAAATATCTACTTATACACAAAATCTGTTGAGATTAATTGTAACTTCATTCCACTTCATAGATACAGACAAGAACAAGAGCAGATAAAACATTTCTAATGAAATAGGAATAGTTCTTTATAAAGGTAAAAACGGCTGGCCAAAGCAATGACCACCAAATGCATACAATATAATAAAGATCAAATTTAAAATATCATTGATTCAGACAAGTTTAATGCAGTGCTATATCTACTAATTTACCATTGGAAAACAAGTAGGAAGAACATGCATTGAGTGATGAGTGGGAAGACTCAAATTTTAAACAGTGGAAGGTAATTATTCACAAAATATAACTTTAAAATGCTTTATTACTATTCAAATCATAAATATAACTCTAATTGCACTTACAACCTACAATTCAATAGTAAACATTGACAAAATTAATGACAAAAAAATGTATAAAGGAAAGTCCTCAAAATATGCATGATCTGACAATGGTTTACAACAGTAAACAAGCATCAGCTGATTAAACGGGGTGTTTCATCTATTTACAA